CTCCGCGTCGCCGCGGAACGCCGCCGCCCGCGCCGACGTGTCGCCCCCCGGGACGGCGCCGCCGCGCGCGCGGGGCCCGGCGCGCCGCGCGCGGTCCGCGTCGCCCGCGGGCCCCCCGGCGCCAGAGGCGGAGAACGCGAGGCCCCCTCGCGCGGAGACCGCGAAGCCCGCGGAGCCCCCGGCGCCCGCGGCGACGACGCCGGCGCGCAACGCGGGCGCCAAGCTCGCCGGCGGCGAGCGGCTGCCCATGGCCGCGCCGCGGCGGCCGCTCCGCTGCGTCACCGAGCCCGGCGAGCCCGCGGCGGCCGCGGCGCCGCGCGGCGCGCGGCGCAAGATCAGCCCGCGGTGCATCTCCGACTTCGACGAGTCGCGCACGCCGCCGCCGCCGCCGCCGAAGCCCGGGAGCCCGTCGACGCGCCTCTGCGACCTGCCCGCGCTCTCGATGCCCCACCAGGTCGAGTCGACGCCCTTCCTGGACCGCCTCGCCCACGCGTCTTAAGTGCCGTGGCACGTCGCGTCGAAGGCCGCGCGGTCGCGTTCGAAGCGCGCGCGGGCCGCGGCGTAGACCGCGGCGTCCGCGGCCGTGAGGTTCGCGACCGCGGCCGCGACGCGGTCGCTCGGCCGGTTCGCGGAGGAGTGGGTATGGTGCGTCGCCTTCTCCCCCCAGCTCGACGTCGGCGACGCGCAGGCGCAGTGCTTGTGGGGCTTGCCGTTCTTGCGCAGCCCCAGCACGCACAGGCCCGCGTCGTAGGCCTCGAGCACGCCCACGTGCCACGCGGCCGCGACGGTTCCGAGCGCGTCGCGCAGACACGCGTCGTCGTCGATGGGCCGCTTGGCGCCGCCGAAGGCCGACTCGTGGTCGTAGCGGTCGCAGAGCTTGCGGGCTTGCATGTTTATGGGATTGAAGTGGCAGATCGACTTGGCGGCTTCGAAGGCCTTCGCCCGCGCCCGCGCCGAGTCGCCGTAGGCCGCGCCGCGCCACGCCTCCACCCAGTCCTCGAGGCTGGCCCTTTTATGGCCCCACTTCTTCAGGTCGCTGGCGAGCTGGCAGTGGCTGAACTGGCTGACGACGTGCGCGAGGGGCTCGCGCGCGAGGAGCAGCGGCCGCGGCGGCCGCGGGAAGACCCGCGTCCGCGCCGCGTAGCCGCCCTCGGTGTTGCCGAAGTCGCACTTGCCGTGGAGCATGGCCCAGGTCGTATTGTCGTAGGCCTTCTTCACCTGGCGGCCGAAGCAGGACACGAGGCCGAACTGGTTGACGAGGTCGCCGCTGAACGACACGCCGCCGGTCTTGGGCACGTGCCAGTAGTAGTAGAGCGGCGGGTCCGTCGCAAGCGCAGCGGCGGCCAGGGCCCAGAGCCGTCGCAGCATGCGTTCAGCCCGTCGCAACGAGCGATCGAGGCCCGCGGCCGCGCATTTTTAGCTCATCATGCTCGGCAGCCCCTTCAACCAAGCCAGTGAGCTGCACAGATGCTGCACGACCGACCCCTCGCTCGGCTCTTGCCACCACGCATCGACGACGCCGCGCCCACCAAAACGTCGCGCCTCTTGCTGCTCGCTGCCGCGACGAGCGCGCTGCTCCGCCCGGACCATGGTGACGACGCGGTCGAAGAACGGCGTCGCCGGCGGCGCGAGCCCCATCTCGCCGAACTCGAGCCCGCTGCAGATCGCGGCGTCGAAGCGGTCCTACCCGCCGGTGCCCAAGACCTGCGTCGTCACGGGCGGCACGGGCTTCGTCGGCCAGCGCCTCGTGGAGATGCTCGTCGAGCGCGGCGCGGCGAAGGTCATCTCGCTGGACATCGTGCCGGCCCCGAAGGACGCGTGGCGCCACCCGAACATCGAGTGGCGCGTCTGCGACATCACGGATGAGGCCAAGGTCGCCGCCGCGCTCGAGGGCGCCGACTGCGTCTGGCACAACGCCGCCGCCGTCGGGCCCTTCCACCCGAAGCCGCTCTACACGCGCGTGACAGGGCAGGACAAGAGAGCGAAATTCCCAACTTCAAAGGCTCCTTTCTAGGCCGTTTTCCACTCGTTTCGGCTGATTTTTGGACGAGCGATCATCTCTCGGAACGGTCTCGAAGCGTGGATGTGTTTTCCGTAACGCGCGCGCGCGGAACACTCACGTTGAAGCGACGTTGAATCACCCTTGTCCTGCCCAGGCGCGTGAACTACGAGGGCACGCTCAACGTGCTCCGCGCGTGCAAGAAGCACGGCGTGCCCAAGCTCGTCTTCTCGTCGTCGCCGTCGACGCGCTTCACGGGCGCCGACGTCGACGGGCTGCGCGAGGACGAGATGCCGTCCCTGCCCCTGCCCAGCTACCTCCAGGAGTACGCGGGCACGAAGGCCGCCGCGGAGCTCGAGGTCTCGAAGGCGTGCTGCGACGACCTGCTGACGGTGTCCGTGGCGCCGCACCAGGTCTACGGCCCCCGCGACAACCTCTTCCTGCCGAATTTGCTGGAGAACGCGGGCAACGGCCGCCTCCGCGTCTTCGGCCCGGGCTACAACCGCATCTGCTTCACGCACGTCGACAACTACTGCCACGGCCTCATCATCGCCGAGCGCGCGCTCGTGCCCAAGTCGCCGGCGCTGGGCAACTTCTACATCTGCACGGACGGCACGACGCACCCCGGCGGCGAGCAGTACCTCCTCTTCTGGAAGGAGCTCGACCGCGCGGTCGTCGGCATGGGCTTCTCGTCGCTCTGGGCCAAGTTCCACTACCCGACCTGGTTCCTCACGCCCATCGCCGCCGTCTGCGAGGTCATCGGCTGGATCTTGGGCACGACGCTCAAGCTCAACCTCTTCAACGTCCGCGTGCTGGTCATGCACCGCTGGTTCGACATCGCGAACGCGGAGCGCGACCTCAAGTTCAAGCCCATCATCGCCTACGAGGAGGGCTGGACGGAGACCATCGCCTGGTTCCGGGAGCACTGGCTCCCGACCTACGCCAAGTCCGCGTCCCTCTTCGGCATCGCGAAGCAGTCCCAGGCGAAGATCGACATCCAGGAGGCGTCCCGCCAGGCGGACCTGAAGAAGACGAAGTGACTTTCTGTGGGGCGTGGCCGTCTAACTCTTAGTTAGCACATGTAGTAGCCGCCGGGCGGGGTCCAGAAGCCCACGACGTGGCGCGCGGCGTCGTCGGGGAGCCGCTGCGCGCACTTGCGCACGAGGCCGGTGAGGACGCGCTGGTGCTTCCGCGCGTAGGCCTTCCAGTCGCCGGCGGCTTTGACGCGATCGTATACAGCGAGGGTGGCTTCGTTCTTGGGCCTGCGCACTGGAGGAAACTCCGTGGGATTCTTTGCGCCAGCGCGGAGCAGGATTTTGACGGCTTCGCGGAGGCCATGACCAAGAGCAATGTCGAGGGCGCTCAGCCTCGCGTTGGTGACTGCGTCGACGTCGGCTCCTGCTTCGATGAGAAGGTTGAGATTTGATAAGAATCGCCGTTTTATTTCAATAGGTGAAACAGTCCTGAGTCCAAGGCATACCAAATGTAATGGAGTGCGTCCAAACCTGGACTTCGCGTTGACATCAATGTCCGGCGCCGCCAGCAGAAGCTCGAGAGTTTTAGTATCAGCATGACGCATCGCTGCTGTGTGCAGCGGCAGATGACCATCTTGGTCGAAAACGCTTGTCGACGCTCCATTTTGTAGCAAGCACTCAACCATTGTTGGATGGTATGGTACAGCGAGATGTAAGGCGGTTCGGCCCCCATGGCCGGGTCTAGGATCACGACTGTTGACGTCCGCGCCGCGCGCGACGAGCCTGCGAACCTCCGAAAGGTCTCCGCTGTAGGCGGCATTGCACAAGAGTCTCTCTAAGTCATCGACATCGTCCATGCCGACCCGCAGCCCCTTCAACGAAGCAGCAAGTTAGCCGCACTGGACGCCCCCAAAAAGCTCGAGGAGCCCGCCTCGACCAAGCGCCTCCGCCGCGCGCGCCCGCACGGCTCGAACCGAGCCGCCGCCGCATTAGCGCCACACCGCTTTCGACAGCTCTCTACGCGACCATGGTCTTCGGCCTCTTCGGCGGCGGCAACGACCGCGAGGCCCAGTCCAAGGAGTTATTGAGCGCCCTGGGCAACAGCGCGCGCGTCGCCGCGAGCGACGGGTCCATGATCGACGTGAGCGTCAAGGGCCTGGGCATGATGCGCGTCTTCCTGCCGCCCAAGTTCCCCGGCGAGCGGCCCGTGCTCCAGCTCATGCAGCCCTACGAGCACGAGCTCGTCGACAAGTACAGCCAGGTCCGGAGCCCCGCGCTCGCGCACTGGGGCGCCAAGTCGAAGCTCGCGGACGTCGTCGTCGCCGTCGTCGACGCGCTCGAGAGCCACGCGTCGCTCGTCGCCAACGAGCGCACCGTCGCCGACCTCGCGGCGCAGCGGTCGCTCGCGAGCGCGCCGGCGCCGGCGCGCGACGGGCCGCGCGACCACGCGCCCGTGCCCGAGATCCCCGGCGACTTCCCCGAGCTCTTCGACGGCCTGGACGACGCGCAGCTCGACGCGCTCGTCGCGGACCCGGAGGCCCTCGAGGCGGCCGTGGACCGCGTGGCCGTGCTGGCGTCGATGGTGGGCCTCCGCGGCGAGCTCCGCGCGTCGAACCTCGCGGCGGCCCGCGCGGCGCTGGCCGCCGCCGACGACGCCGACGCGGCGCAAAGGGACGCACAAACCGCCGCCGACGACCTCCGGGACGCGCTCGCGGCCTACGACGCCGCGAGGGCGGACGCGGCCCGCTTCGCGTCGTCGGATCCGGCGGGCGACGCGGCCGCGGGCGCCGCCGCGCGGTCGAAAGCCGCGGACGCCACATCGCTCGCGCTCCTCGACGCCTGGACCGGCGGCGACCGGGCCCAGTTCATCGAGGCCTACATCGCCGCGCGCAAGGAGCACCACCTCGAGGCCGCGCTCGCGGCCCAGTGCGGGAGGCCCGACGTCGCCGTCGAGGACGTCGCCTAAAGTTTTTTGTGTGCACAGAGGCCTGCACAACCGATGCAGAGGCGGTGTCCTCTCTAGGCGCAGGCAATGTTCCTCCTCGCGTTACGGAAACGACGCGCGCATGAGCGACCGGCAGTCGCCGCGCTTCGCGGCGAGGCCGCCGTCGAAGGCGCGCCGGAGCGCGCCGACGAGGCTCTCCGCGTCGGCATCGTCGCGGCTCCGCGGCGTCGCCGGCGGCGGCGCCTCGCAGGCCAGGGGCGGCGGGTCCGAGAACAGGTCCCCCAAAGGCCCCGCGGCGCCCGACCACGGCGCGCGGCTCTCGAGGTCCTTCGCCGCCGCGAGCGCCGCGAGCGCCGCGTCGCGCCAGGCCGTCGCGTTGCAGTAGGCCGCCGCCGCCGCGGGCGCGAAGCGCGCGGCCGCCGCCGCGTCGAGCTTGCCGCCGTCGACGTCCAGCGGAACGAACGGCGCCGCGCGGCGCCGGAACGCGGCGAGCGCGTCGCTCCCGAGCCCGCGCGCGCCGTCGCGCGTCGTCGCCACGGGCAACCCGTGCTCCAGCGCGAGCCAGACCTTCGTCGAGATGCCCGACGCGACGACGGCCGGCGCGACGAAGAGCCTCGACCGCCGGAGCGCGGCCGACACGTCGTCGACGCGCCCCGGCGCCGACACGCCCGGCGACGCGTGGGGCGGCCGCTTGCGCATGTTGCCGCCCGCGGGGCGCCCGCTCGCGAAGACGTCGGGCGCGCACAAAAGCCGCGCGGCGCCGCTCCGCTTCGCTAAGGCATCATCACACGCCGCGCGCGCCTCGTCGGCCCACTGCGCGGAGCCGATCAAGAGCAGCTTCGCCGCCCGCAGGTCCGCACAGCCGCCGTCGGCGTCGCTCAGCGCGTGGAGCGCCGGGAGCGCGTGGCGCAGGAGCCACTGGACGGCCAAACGATTCGCGAAGGTGCCCCCGCCGACGAACGCCACGTCCGCGCGGCGCCCGAAGCTATCGCCGTGGGCCGTCCAGCCGTCCTTGGCCGTGCCGCCGTCGATCTTCGCGCGGTAGGGCAGCACGCCGAGGTCCGGCGCGCCGCGGCGCGCGGACCGCACGAAGTCGCCGCCGGGGAACTTGTCGCAGACGGCGTCCGCGTCCGCGTCGCGCGGCGCGGCCCGCAGCGCCGCGAAGGCGTCGCGGTCCTCGTCGGAGATGGCCAACACGGCCGCGACGTCCGCGTGGCCGTAGAAGGCCCGCTCGGCCTCGCGCACGAAGCGCCAGTAGGCCGCGTCGTCGCCGCGCGCGGCGCCGACGGCGCGCGCGCGCTCGTGCTGGACGTCGTCGGACGTCAGCACGACGGGGATCTTGCGCCGCCGGATGTCGCCGAGCTGCTTCGCCAGCGGGATGACGAGGGCGGGGATGGGCGGCGCGGACAGGCGGTAGAACCACGTCGTCGCGACCACGATATCGACGCGCTGCCGCGCGAGCTTTTGCGCCGACACGCCTTCCATCGTCTCGTCGAGGGCAAACACAGCAAAGTTGCTGTCGTCGCAGTGGGCGATGTTCAGGTCCTTGACGACGGCCGCGGGCTCGGGGTCGAACTTGGCGACGCGTTTCTTGACGTCGCGGTGCGCCAGTAAGACCCGGTGCCCCGCGGCGCAGAGCCACGATAGCAGCTGGCGCGTGCGCACGTGGCCGCCCTCGTAGGGCGTCGGCAGCTTTTCGTAGGCCACGAAGACGGTGAGCGCGGCGCCGTTCGTCCGCGCGTCCTCGCGCGATTCGCGCTCGAAGTCGGGCCGCGCGGCCGCGCGCGCGCAGTCGCTGTTGTTCCGGCGCGCGGGGCAGGTCACGTTATTGGTCGCGCACCAGCCGTCGACGGCGGCCTTGATCTGCGCCGGGGGCAGCACCTGGATGCCCGGGAGCGCCGCGCACCGCGAGAGGCCGACGTCCGCTCCGAGCCGGTCCCACAGGTACTGGTAGGACTGGATGCCCAACGCCTTGATCTTGGGCTTCTTCGGCCCGCTGAAGAAGTCCAACGCGTAGGACGACGACGGCGCCGGGAGCTTGATCGTGCCGTGGGGCGCCGCGGCCGTTTCGACGCCGCAGCAGCACCGGGAAGTCACGGGCTCGCCGAGCGTGCGGCTCAGGGCCTTGGCGCTCTCGAGGGCGTTGTAGAACGTGCCCGGCGCGTTCTCGCAGACCTCCGTGCGCTTCTGGAGGAGCGCCTCCCTGGCGAGTTTCTTCGCCTCGGCCTTTTTGGCGCCGTCGGGCGCGCCGTCGCCCGCGAGGTGGAACGTCCACCGCTTGTCCCCCAACACGACGGCGCGGCCGACGTGGGCGAGCATGGCCATGAAGGCGCCGCCCCAGGGCGAGAAGCCGGGCACCAATTGGCTCGCGTCGAGGCGGTCGAGCCAGTCGCGGGGAAATATCAACGCGTCGTGCCCCAGGTGCGCCTCGCCGGCCTGCTTGAAGATGGCGTCGACGTCGGCGAAGTCGCGGGGCGCGACCTGGCGCCGCGTCACGGACCAGGCCGTGCGCAACGGCAGCCGCTCGTCCAAAACCAGCTGCTGGAGGTGCACGTAAAAGTGCGGGTGCACGAGGATGTCGGGGTTCGTCAAAACGACGTAGTGCGCGTCCGTCGGCGTGAGCCGCGCGCACTCGAGCAGGTCACCGAGGAGCGGCAGGCGCATGCCGTTCTCGACGTCGAGGCCGTTGCGCAGCACGCACGCGCGCCGCGTCGGCCACCGGCCCGTGAGCGCCTCCAGCTCGCGGTCGCCCTCGCGCGCGGCCGCGGCGATCTCGACGCCGATGCCGCACCAGCGCGCGACGCGCCAGGCCTTGGACAGCGCCAGGTGGCTCAGCGCGTCCTCGTCGACGGCCGCGCCGCCGATCGTCGTCGCGCCGTGCGGCTTCGACCGCGCGAACGGGTTCACGACGTGGACGAAGCGCGGGAAGCCCACGGGCGTGCCGCCCGTCGGCGGGGCGCCCGAGGCGTCCATGACGGCGTCGCGCTCCGGCAACGAGTCGACGAAGGCGTTGCCCCAGCGGGGCCGCGCCGCGCGCGGCGCCGCGAGGAGCCGGCGGCGCCGCGCGGGCGCGTCGTCGCCGTCCGCGTCCGTCGTGTTGACGACCTCGAGGGACGCGTCCCGCAGGGCCAGCTCCGCGGCGGCGTCGCGCTCCTCGAGGCCGTCGTTTCCGTCGTCGTAGCCGTGGGCCGCGAGCCACCCGCCGAAGCCCTCGGTGACGCGCCGGAGCGCGAGGAAGACGTCGCAGCGCGGCACGCGGCGCTGCACCTCGTCGAGGACGACCTTCTTCGCGTAGGCGCGGGGCGCCGACGTCGCCGCGTGGACGTGCTTCGCCGCGAAGCCGCTCTTGGCGTCCCAGCACTCCCGCGGCTTGGACCCGCGGCCCTGGCGCTTGCCGACGGCGCATTTCGACGGCTTCGCCCTCGAGAGGGCGTCGACGGCGTCGACGACGGCGCCGGCGTCGACGGACGCGTCGGGGAAGCCGCGCAGCGCGACGGCCGCGAGGCGCTCGACCTCGGCCGTGTAGTTGGCCTTCATGCGCTCGTACTTCCCGTCGTAGCAGACGTAGGGCGCCCAGTGCGCGTACTGCTGGAACCGCAGGGCGACGCCGTGGGCGCGCTGCGTGCGCGTCGCGCCCGTCGGCGCGAAGCAGGCGCCGAACATGAGCATGGAGCTCAGGACGACGTCGCGGACGTCGCGATGGCTGCTAGAGCACGACGTCGACGCGCGCCAAGAGCCGCGGCACGAAGATGTGGGTCTTGAGCACGCAGACGCGGGCCGCGAGGCAGCCGTCGAAGGCCGCGGAGTCGCCGTCGGCGTGGGCGCCGACGACGGCCCAGTCGTCGTCGGCGCCGGCCTCCGCGCGGCCCGCCGACCGCGCGGCCGCGACGCCCCGCTCGAGGATCTGCTTGACGGCGTTGTACTGCCACGTCGACCCGCTCCGGCTCAGGCCCGTGACGAGGACGTGCACGCCGGCGAAGAGGCCGCCGGCCGCCGTCTTCGCGGCGCAGCGCACGCTGCCGCCGGCCGCCTGCGCGTTGGCCTCGGCGTGGCGCGCGTCGATCGTCGAGTTGACGGCGTGGCCCGTCTCGAGCCGCGAGATCTCGCGCCGCGGCCGCGGCTTCGGCGCCGCCGACGGCGCCGCCGACGGCGCGGGCGTCCTCGACGGCGCGGTCGGCGCGGGCGTCGGCGCGGGCGCGGCGCGGGCGTCGGCGCGGGCGTCGGCGCGGGCGTCTCGGGCGTCGCCGTCGGCGCGGGCGTCGCGCGCGCGGGCGTCGCGCGGCGCGGCGCCGCCGGCGTCGTGGCTTCCATTGGCGCCGCGGCCGCGGGCGCCGCCGCCGGCGGATCGTGTTTGACGACGACGTCGACGACCGCCTGGCGCTTCGAGTGCAGCCGGAATAGCACGAAACAGTTGACGCCGAGGACGGCGACGAACGCGAGCCGGAACGCGCTGCGCCAGCACGGGCTCCGCTGCGCCAGCCCGCCGCTCCGCGGTGGCCTCGGCCGCATCATCGTCGACAATAATATTTTTGCGGCAGCCCGAAGCGCGCTTTGTAAAATCTCACTTTGCATTTATTTCCGTGCTCCGCGGTCCGGGAAGAGCGCAGGAATGATGTGCGATTCCGCAACCAACAACGCATTACGCGACAATGCAATTCGGCAAGGCCTTCATCCTCGTCGTCGTCGGCCGCGCCGTCGACCGCGCGTCGGCTGCGGCGCTCCTCGACGACCCGGCCGACGATGCGATAGCGGCGCCCACGACGGGGCCGACGTCACTGGGGCTGCCCGTCACGGGATACACGCCGACTCGGACGTACGCGACGTACGCTCCATCGTACGCGCCCACGCCGCTGGACGATCATCCGTACGGCGGCGACGGGCCGCAGTCCTCGTCGTCGTCGTCGTCGGACAGGCCGCGCAAATGCGACACGTGCGTCTCCAAGGTCGTCGCGACGTCCGTCATCGTCTTCGTGGCGTCGCTCGCTGTTATCGGCTGCCTCCTCAACCGAGCGCAGAAGCCCGAGATCCTCCCGCACCACCATTATTTCTCCCCGGAGAAGGACGGCTTCGACGCCAAGCGGGAGCTCTGCCTCGAGTCGCCGGCCGCGGAGTCGGAGGTCAAGCCCGGGTTTTTCTAGGCAGCGTGGTGCTGCCATGTCTCTCCGTCACTCGAGATTAGGAGCTCTCCCATAACCATGCTATTTGAGATCAGCACCCTGTCATTCAACTTAGGTCGGCAAGAGGCGGAGGCGGCCGGCGGCGGAGCACGAGGTGGAACGTCGACTTGTTTGGGATATTGCAGTCGCTGAGCGTGAGGCCGTCCTCGAACTGCTTGCCCTTGAAGATCAAGCGCTGCTGGTCCGGCGGGATGCCCTCCTTGTCCTGGATCTTCTGCTTCACGTTGCCGATCGTGTCGCTGGGCTCGACGACGAGCGTGATGGTCTTGCCCGTGAGCGTCTTGACGACGATCTGCTCGAGCTCAGACTCAGGTTCGGGTTCCGATTCCGGTTCGCGCTCGGGTTCCTTCAACAAGCGGAGCACGAGGTGGAGCGTCGAGTAATTCAGGATACTGCAGTCGCTGAGCGTGCGACCGTCCTCGAACTGCTTGCCCTTGAAGATCAAGCGCTGCTGGTCCGACGGGATGCCCTCCTTGTCCTGGATCTTCTGCTTCACGTTGCCGATCGTGTCGGACGGCTCGACGTCGAGCGTGATCGTCTTGCCCGTGAGGGTCTTGACGAAAATCTGCGGGGGGCCGCCGAGGCGGAGGACGAGGTGGAGCGTCGACTGCTTCTGGATGTTGTAGTCGATGAGCGTGGGGCCGTCCTCGAGCTGCCTGCCACAGAAGATCAAGCGCTGCCGGTCCGGCGGGATGCCCTCCTTGTCCTCGATCTTCTGCTTCACGTTGGCGATCGTGTCGGGCGGGTCGACGTCGAGCGTGATGATCTTGCCCGTGAGCGTCTTGATGAAGATCTGCATCTGGCCACGCCGAGGCCAACGCTGTCGGTGGGGCGACCACGACGCCTCGCCGTCGACCGCGCAGCACGTCGCGGCCACGCCGAGCGCGTCGAGCTGGTCCCGCGTGAAGTACTCGGGCGCCGCGCGCGCGCGCGCCTGCTCCGCGGAGTCGGCGCCGGGCTCGGGTTCGGGCCCAGGTTCGGGCGCGTCGAGGCGCGTTAGATCGTCCAAAGCGAGGTCGCCTCGGTCCAGCAGGAGGAACCGGGCGATCTTGTCGATCTGCGCGTCGAGCATGCGCGCGCCGTCGTGGACGGCGCAGCCGTTCGCCGCCGCGGCTGCGAGGAACGGCGTCACGCGCGGCGTGTGGATGACCTCGGCGCAGATGAGCGGCGGTCGCAGGAGCTCGAAGGGGACGGGCCGGTCGTCGTCCGGCTCGTGGCCGCAGTTCGTGCACTGGACGACGACGTCGAAGCCGGCGAACGACTCCGGCATGTTGCCGACCGCGACGCCCTCGATGTCCGCCGCGAGCGCCTCGGCGCGCCGGCGCGTCCGATTGACGACCATGACGCGGGCGGAGGCCCGCGCGAGGCTGTGCGCGACGGCCCGCGCGGCGCCGCCCGCGCCGACGACGAGGCAGCTCTTGCCGTCGACCGCGCCGTGCGCGGCCTCGAAGCCGTCGAGGAACCCCGGACCGTCCATGTTCGTGCCGACGATTTGGACGGCCGCCCCCTCGCGCAGCCGAAGCACGCGCACGACGTTCGCGCAGCCGACGGCGCGCGCCTCCGGCGTGACGTGCGTGCAGCTCCGCAGGATCGCCTCCTTGTGCGGCTTCGTGACGATGAAGCCGTCGACGTTGCGCGCGGCGACGAGGCCGGCGACGAGCGCGTCGAGGGCGTCGCCGGGCACGTCGAGCGGCAGCAGGACGGCGTCGCCGACGTCGGCGCCGCTGGCGCGGAGCCGCTGGACGGCGAGCGGAAAGATGATCGGGCTGCGCGTGACGCCGACGGGATCGCCGAGCATGAACAGCGCGCGGCATTTCGGATCGACGCGGCGCACGTCGCTGCCGTCGCCCGCGGCGGACGCCGTGGCCGTCGTCAGCCGCGCGACCTCCGCTTCGAGGCCGGCGACGCGTAACCCGAGGGCCTCCTCGACGTCGTTCGCCTCCCGCGGCGCCTCGCAGAGCGCGGCGGCGGATCGATGGTAGGCGACCTTTTTCAAGCAGGTGTCGCTCTCGAAGCACTCGGGCCCGCAGTAGCGGACGCCAAAGCAGCGGTCACATTTAAACGGAGCCTCCTCAGCGCCGCACACGGCACACGGTGCGCGCACCATGAGCTAGCCGACCTGCGCAGGCCCCTGTAAGCCGCTCTCAGAGACCGGACAGGGTGCTGAGTGGAGGGCACCGTTTTTGTTGAGTTTCAACATGCAGCCCCAAAGCAGGCTGGGCTGCCAAGGCTGTTGCTCCCGTCCAAACGCCATGGCGTCCTGGGCCCACCCCAGCTCCTGCGCCGACATCGCCGTGGACACGGACGACGAGAGCGTGGAGCCCTGCGAGCCCCACGCGGCGCTGGACCTCGGCGACGACGCCAGCCCGCGGATGTACGAGAGCGCCGACTTCGGGGACCTCGAGCAGGTCGGCGGCCGGGACCCCGTGCCCATCTTCAACGCGAGCAGCCAGTGGCGGCGCCAGGTGACGTCGGCGAAATTGGCCGAGGGCGGCCGAAGGCCCGAGCGGCGCGGGAGCGACCCCTTCCACTTCATGGGCGAGGACAGCGACGACGGCGAGAGCGAGGGCGGCGGCGACCCGGCGCTCCAGTCCACGGAGGCGATGATGCGTTTCATGATGTGCGTCGGCGGCGAGGAGGGCAAGACCTACGACGAGGTCGTGTCCCACCACTACCGGCCCTGCGAACTGACGCCCGCGGACGCTTTCTACGACGAGATCGAGGAACTGAAGAAGCAGGTCGCGGCGCTCGACGAGCCGCGGCGGCGGGGCGACGCGCTGCCCTGGCAGCAGGGCGACGACCACTGCGCCGTGCCGGGCTGCACGGGGGCGAGCCCCGACGAGGGCCGCAGGAAGCGCGGGCCGCCGCACGTCTGCGAGGACTTCGAGGAGGACGACTTCCCGGAGCCGCCCGCGCGCGACGCCGCGCCCGCGGCGAACCGCGGCGGCGACCGGCTCTTCGCGCTGAGCGAGGTGCTCGAGCTCCACGTCTACGCCTTCCTCGACGGCGCGTCGCTCGCGCGCTTCGAAATATCGTTCCGCGGCGCGCGCGCGCGGTGCGCGCCGCGGTGGCCGCGGCTCTTCGCGGCGCGCTTCGGCGGCGACGCCGTCGCGGGCGGCCGCACGGCCTACGGCGCGGGGTGTCGCGACCTCGGAAACGCGTTGGCCTGGGCGCCGCTGGACGTGGACTGCGACGGCGTATCGCTCGGTAGGGGGTCCGCGGCGGTCGCGTTCCGCTGGTCCGACGGTCAGCCCTTCGGGTGCGCGATCCACGGCGGCGGCGACGGCATCTTGGTGCTCGAGGACTGCTTCCGCGCGGGCGCGGAGACGCTCCGCGGCGGCAAGCTCGCGCGGGGCTCCATGGGCCCGCGGTCGCACGTCGACCTGCGGTCGCTCCGCCGCGGCGGCTCGTCGACGCACGCGCTGCTCGTCCACGGGGGGTTGGTGGATTTGGCGCGCACGGCGCTCGCCTACGTCGTCTGCCGCGACGAGCTCGAGGGCGAGGTCTACGTGACCGCGCGGGAAGTGAGGCCCCACGCGGACATGTGGCCGACCGTGCACCATTCGTTGGACGTGCTCGGGGGGCCGCGCGGCGAGGTCGCCGTGAAGCTCGGGGGCCAGCGCTTCGACGGCGAGCCCGTGCCCGACTGCTTCGCGCTCGCCCTCGACGGGTTGGGCCACCCGGCGGCGGGCGACGGCTGGGTCGCGGTCGGCGACGGCGGCCCCGTGCCGCCCGCGCGCGCGTGCCACTGCACCTGCGCCGCGGGCGCCTCGCTCGTCGTCGCCGGCGGCTTGCGCCTCGACGCGCCGGGCGGCACGCTCACGGACGTCTGGGTCCTCGACGCCGGCTCGCTGAGCGAGCCCGCGGCCTGGGCCTGGTCGCGCTGCGCCGTGGACCCCGCGGCCGTGCGGCGGCCGCCGGCGTGGCGCGACGACGACGGCTCGTCGAACGGGCCCTGGGTCTTCGGCGTCGGCTACGGCGCCGCGCTCGCCGGGCCGCCCGTCGCCGTGTCGCAGCGCGTGCCGACGCGGGGCACGGCCTTCGCGCTCTGGCGCTGCTCCTTGCTCGAGGCCGCGCGGCGGGACAACGGCCTGGATTTGTACCTCGCGGGCGACGGCGGCGTCGCGGCGGTGTCGCTCGATTTATCGGACGGCGGCGGCCGGCCCGCGCCGGCGATCGCGCGCGCGCGGTCCCTCGTCGACGCGCCGCCGGCGCCCGAGGCCGGCGACGAGCGCCACGCGAAGCGGCGCTTCGACGCGGCCTTCTTCCGCGCGGGCAAGGTGCTCCTCTGCTTCGGGGGCAACGACGGCGAGCGCGACCGCGCGTGGTACGATCTGGCGGGCCACTGCTGGCTCGACTGCCACGCCCTCGACGCGGCGGCGGGACAGTGGCGCCGCGTCGACGCGCCGAGGCGGCGCGGCGACGTCGCGCTGCCCCTCGCGTCGCCCGCGGGCGACGGGTGCCTCCTCTTCTCGAACGGCGACGGCGACGGCGCGCTCCGGGCGGAGCGCCTCGCCTGGAAGCGCGAGCCCGAGGGCGACGGCGCCGGCGTCGCGCAGGACGCCGCGGCGGCCGTCGCGCGGAGCCTCCTCGGGTAAAATTCTCTTTACTGACGGAGTCCTCCTCTGCTTGAAGGGCAACCTGCACACAGTGTGGCGAATCGATATGGAGCTGAACCGGAAGGAGCGGCGCCGACTGGCCGCCGAGGCCGCCAAGGCCGCAGCGGCTGAGGAGGCTGCAGCGGAGGCCAAAGCCGCCGCCGACGCCAAAGCCGCGGAAGCGAAGGCCGCGGCCGACGCCAAAGCCGAGGCCACAGCGGCCGCCAAGGCCGCCAAGGCCGCAGCGCCAGCGCCCGCAGCGCCAGCGCCCGAGGCGCCGGCGCCCGAGGCGCGCGCGCTCGCCGCCGCGAGCAAGCCCGCGATCGCCGGGCCGGAGTGCACCTCGAGAATCGTGATGGAGCTGAACCGGAAGGAGCGGCGGAAATTGGCCGCCGAGGCCGCCAAGGCCGCAGCGGCGGAGGAGGCCGCAGCGGTGGAGGAGGCCGCCGAGGCCGCCAAGGCCGCAGCGCCGGCGCCCGAGGCGCGCACTGCCGCGAGCAAGCCCGCGATCGCCGGGCCGGAGTGCACAACCGCGGAGATCGTGACCAGGACCCGCCGGCTCAGCACGGTCACGGAATGCGACACCCTCGGCGCCGTCTGCGTGGTCGGCGCGGGCCCTTTGGGCTCGGCCGCGGCGCGCCACCTGCTCGAGCTCGGCGCGGCGTCGGTCGTCGTGCTCGACGGCGCGGCGAGCGCGGCGACGCGGCGGCGGGGCTCGCACCACGACGGCGCGCGCCTCATCCGCGCCGCGGACGCCGAGGGCGACGAGGTCTGGAGCCGGCGCAACGCCGCGGCCCTCGCGGCGTTCCCGGCCCTCGAGGCCGCGAGCGGCGTGCCGTTCTTCACGAACAGCGGCGCGCTCGTGCTGGGGCCGGAGGCCTTCGTCGCGCGCGCCGCGCGCGCCGCGGAGCGCGCGGGCGCCGCGCTCGAGCGGCTCGGCGACGCGGCGTCGCGGTACCCGTTCCTCGCGCCGCGCGAGGGCTGCGGCGCCGCGTGCGTGGACGGCGCGGCGGGCTGGATCGACCCCGACGCGATGATCCGCGCGCAGCTCGCGGCGGCGGCGCGGGCGCACCCGGGGAAGCTCGAGGTTTTGGCGGGCGTCGCGGTCGAGGTGTCGCAGACCTGGGAGGGCGTGCGCGTGGCGACGGACGCGGGCGAGGACGTGCTGGCGGACCGGTGCGTGATCTGCGCGGGCGCGCACACGCGGACCCTCGCGGGCGGTTTGGACGGCGTGGTGGTGTCGCGGCGGACCGTCGCGCTGCTGGAGGTGTCCGAGGCGACGGCGGCCGAGCTGTCGCGCTCCATGCCGACGATCAAGTACTGCTTCGAGCTGGCGTCTGCGGACGGCGGCGGTGCGGACGAGCAGAGCCGCGTCGAGGCCGCGAGCGTTTATGTTTTGCCGCCCGTGCGATACGAGGACCTCGGCGGCGGCTGGTTCGTCAAGATCGGCGGCGGGCCGAACGACCCCATGGCCGAGGACCCCGGGTCCGAGGCCATCGACGCGTGGCTCGCGACGGAGGGCGACGCCGCGACCGCCGACTGGCTCGCGGGCGTCGGCCGGGAACTGTTGGCGGGCGTGGCCTTCGTCGGCGACGGCCACCGGTCCAAGGCGTGCGTGACGACGATCGGCGGCACCGACGTCCGCGTCGCCTTCGCCGTGCCCCGCCGGCGGGTCGCCGCCGTCTCGCTCTGCTGCGGCAAGGCCGCGGGCCCCGCGGACGCCATCGGCCGCGAGATCGCCGCCGCCGTCGCCGTCGCGAGCCGGCTCGAGGACGCGGGCGTCTCGAAGCCCGCGCCCGCGGCCGCGAGCCGCGTGCCGGACGAGGGCGCCTCGAAGCCGGCCGAGTGAACGGAGCCCTGGGGTGACATAACGGTGCATAGGGCTTTTGACGAAATTTTTGTGGCGATTTCTGAGATTCGGCGACGCTCGTCGTGCGAGGGCGGGTCGCCCGTGCGGAGAGCGCGCCCAATCGAGCCGCGCGACCTGCGGCGGTCAGGGCACAAAATATACAACACCCCATGTCGGCCAGTGGCGCAGGCGAGTGGCCCAGTGATGTCCAGCTGTTGCTCGGTCAACTCAGCGATGATCCAGCTGGTACGATGCACGATCTCCTCGACACGAGCGCTTTCGCTAGCGACGCCACCGAGAGCGAGCGGCTCGGCGCGCGACAACACATTATTGCACGTCTTGCCGACATCATGGAGCACGTGTCGAGCTACGACCGTAAGGACCGCGCGGCGGCTCAGCGGCTGGTCGACGCGCTTTGGCCTGCGGGGACGGGAGCGGCGTCGGAGTTGTGCGCGCCGTATATGGATTCGATCTTGGGTAGCCTCAGCCACGAAAGCGTGCCAGCCACACCCGGCCCCGAGGCGCCGTTGAGCACATGGGTCAAGTTCGTCGTCGGTGCCGCTGGACCGGAAGGGATCGTTGAGTGCCTTGGATCACCGAATCCTCACGGATTCGAGTATCCTTTCGAGGCGTCCAAAATTTTGAAGCATCTCGGCCCGGCTGTATTGGAAGAGCACGCGGGCACGCTCATCATGTACCTCGGCGATCCCGATATGAACTACGAGGATCACTACGACAGCCACGATAGAATCACTCGGCTTCTACAGTCACTCGACCCTGACGTGCTGGCGTCGCATGCGTCCGATCTGATGGCTAATCTGTGCACTGCGCAACGCTGGGCCGCTCGCGATTGCTTTGTAGAGGTCCTCGGGGAGCTCGAGCTTCAGACGCAGGAGATGGTTGTCGTTCCGATGCTCTCGGTCATGGGTACGCACGATCACCCGAACATTCGCGGCAACGCACTTTGTGTGCTCGAGGCCTTAGACCCGGTTTTGCGTGACAGGACGTGTAGAAAGATCGTCTTAGACGGCATCAATGATCCAATTGCGAGCGTTCGTGCGTGCGCGATGTGCGCGCTTCAGAATTTTGAGACGCCTCTGTTGTTAGCGCACGCACGAAAGATCTCAATGCTTCTCATGGATTCGGATCTAGAAGTGCGTTTGGCAGCCATCGAAACGCTCTCACGGCTCGAGCCGCACTCCCTTGAACCTTATGCAGCGGCGATCGCGGGTTGCGTCGCGGACCCGTTCGAACGGGAGAGTGCCTGGGCCCTGCAGGTGAGGGCGTTAGGTACGCTTCGCCGAATTGGGCCACACATGCTCGAGAGACACTTACCGCTCATCGTGATGGCACTCAAGGAGACACTCAACAAACCCTGTGACGAATATTATCTGAGGGTCAGAAGCTGCTGTCTGGAATGTATGCAGGAACTGCCCGGGTCGCAAGTTTTAGCGCCGCACGCGGCGCTCATCGCCAAGCTTTGTCGAGACGACCAGAGCCTCGCCACGATATGGGAAGCGCTCAAGCTCTTCGAAAAGCTCCCCCTTTCGCTTCAATTGGAACAGGTCCACGCGATCCAAGCCGTTTTGCAGCTGGACGTCCGCGCGCTCAGCCATATGCTGCATCAACAATACGCCGACGGCGTTCCAAAGCGAGCCGAAAGAATCATGGAGCAACTGTTCGCCCCCGGCGGCCCCGGCTTCCTCCAGGCGCAAGCCGACTTCCAGTCGCATGCCTAGCGTAACACATAAACACCGACTTTAGAAGACATCAGAGCCGCGCGAGGCCCGGCGCGGCGTGCTTCCGGGTGTCCGGTACGCAGCGGTAGGCGACGGTCGTGTTCGAGAGGATCTTGTGGGGATCCTCCCACGCGTAGGCCACCGTCGCGTTCGTGCCGTTGGGCCCCGCGACGGCGAAGGACAGCGCCCAGTCCGCGGCGTCGAAGTAGTCCTTCGACTGCGACGGCACCGCGGAGTTGCCCTTGTCGAAGCGGAAGAGGACGTAGCGGCCGTTGAGGCGCACGTCGCGCACGGTCACCGTCGCGCTGAGCTCCAGCGCCGCGACGTCGCCGACGTCCGTGTCCGGCTCGTAGTCCTTGTCCAGCGCGAGGGACACGGGCAGCGACGGGCCCGCGGCGTTGCCCGAGATCGCCACGCCGAAGTCGTAGGCGACGTCGAGGCAGGGGTAGGCCTCGCCGCGCTTGTCGTCGGCTTTGGAGCAGTTGCCCCGCAGGTAGAGGGTGTCCACGAGCGTGTCGAAGCGGCGGTAGTAGCCGAGGTTCGCGGACCCGTCGGGCGCCTTGCCCGAGCCTGGGCAGGACAAGAGAGATTAAACGTCGCTTCAACGTGAGTGTTCCGCGCGCGCGCGTCACGAGAAAAAACATCCACGCTTCGAGACCGTTCCGAGAGATGATCGCTCGTCCAAAAATCAGCCGAAACGAGTGGAAAACGGCCGAGAAAGGAGCCTTTGAAGTTGGGAATTTCGCTCTCTTGTCCTGCCCTTGCCCGAGCCGTGCGCGAGCACGTCGTCGTCGAAGACCTCCGACGCGTCGGCCAGGGGGTACTGGGAATAGATACCGAAAACGGGCTGGACGACGTCGTAGGTCGCGTTCGCGAGGCCGTAGGCGTCGTGCTCGCCGCCCGCGCGCATCGGGAACCACAGCACGGGCGCGCCGGCGGCGAGGCGCCGCTTGAGCCAGAGGAGGTAGGACCGCCACTGGGGGTAGGTAGGACCATCATACACCTCGTATTGAAACCTTAACTTGTCGAGCGCGCCCGCGACGTTCGTGTGCAGGATCTCGTAGCCGAGTTTGGGGCTCCCGTGGCCGCCGCCGTCGGCCGCGGCCCGCCGCGCGACGCCCTGGGACACGTAGACGCCGTAGGAGAGCGCGATGGCCTGGATCGCCGACGCGCCGCCGAAGACGCCCTCGGCGTCGACCCACTGGCGCCGCGGCGACACGGGCGCGACGCGCGCGTGGGCGTAGCCCGCGGGCGGCGTGCAGGTGCCCGGGGCGGCGCAGGCGCCGTTGCGGTCGGGCCGCCGCCGCGACGGGTCGTCCGGCGGCGGCCGCGCGTCCTCGGCGAGCGCGCAGGCGCAAAGGACCCCCCACGCGAGGCGCGAAGCCATCGTCGACCGCAGCCCGCCTATCAGCATAAAAGGCACATAAAAGGCACGGGTCGACTCGGTTCAAATTGCAGTCGCAGTAAAAAATCTTTAAAAAAAAGCAAAGCTCCGTTGCTCGTCGCGGTGGACCCCTGAACGACACCGTCGCCGCGACTCGCGTGCGTCGACGCGGCGGCGTCCCCCGGGCGGCGTCCGCGGAGGAGCGTAGTACAGTGGGGGGGAGGGCGCCGCGCGCCGCGCGTCGGGTCTAGAGCTTGCGCTGGGGCACGGTCGTCGCGGTCGTCGCGGAGGACGCGTCCGTCGAGGATGAGGACGCGTCCTCCGGGTCGTCGGTGGAGTCGCCCGGCGAGTAGTTCTCGGATTTCCAGGAGCACTTGCCCTGGGAGCACATGTGGAAGAGCACGTTGGAGACGTTGTAGCAGCCGAGGTTGAGCATGTAGTCGATGCCCGGGTCCGTGAGGTAGCCGTCGAGCTGGATGACGTCGCCGGAGGGCTTGGTCGCGTAGATGTCGAGGGAGCCGAAGCCGACGCGGTTGCAGTGCCACTTGTAGCCGTAGTCCGAGAGGCGCGTCGTCCACTCGTCGACGGGGTAGTCGTACTGCGTGAGGTCGAAGTGGTTGTCCATGTACTGGTCGAAGCCGCAGATGGGCGACTCGTAGGACTCCTTGTGGGCGCTGTTCTTGGCGACCTCGAGCTCCGTGACGCCGAACGCGTAGTTCGACTCGACGTGGCGCTGGACGACCTTGACGGGCATGGGCGCGCCCGGGAGGCGGAAGATCTTCATCGTGTAGCCGTCGATGGTGTCGTCGGAGTCCTCCGAGTCGTAGTCGACGTCCGCGGACAAAATCGTCGTGTAGTACTCCGTCACCGTCGCCATGTCGGACGTCGCCTCGGAGATGGCCAGCGGCACGAGGTCGTCGGACCCCGGCGGCGCGGACCCGGCGAAGCTCAACGCGATGTGGGACATGCGCACCGTCGGGTCCTCGAAGATGGGCCGCTCCGACGCGCCGTTGCGCTCCTTCGCGTCCGTGACGTTCGCGTTGCCGCCCGCCGTCTCCGGCGCGAGCGACGACACGAGCTCGAAGTTGATCTGCGTGTGGGGCACGTGGACGATCAAGGAGAAGAAGACGGAGCCCTCCGTGCAGTCCGACGACACGCTGGACGCGGACGTCGCCGTGTCCGCGCAGTCGTCGATGATATTGGAACCGGAGTTGTCGCGCCACTTCAGCAGCATGTAGGGGATGCCGTCGCGCTCGAAGGCCTCGACGTAGGTCTGGAGGGAGTTCGCGTAGAACATCATGGAGATGTCCATGAAGGGGTCGTAGGTCGACATGTCCGTCAACCGCGCGTCGAAGTGCGTCTCGACCTCGGAGACGCTGACGTTGCCCGCGGGGCGGTCCTTGGCGTTGACCATGTGGAGGCCGAAGCAGGGCACGTGCTCGCCCTCGTTCGTGCCGTTGAGGGCGAGGCGCACGTAGGAGCCGCACTCGCCCTGGCTGTGGTGGCAGAGGCTGTAGTCCGTGAAGCCGCCGTCCGTCTCGCACTCCACGGGGAAGTACTTGTACAAAAAGTCGGCGGCGGACGTCGGGTCGCTCACGGACCAGGTCTGCTTGCTGATCGTCAAATTGCAATACGCCGACTTGAGCGACCCCAGCTCCGTCGTCGCGTCCACGCTCAAGGTCGACCCGCGCGCGACGGCGCCGGACGCGAGCAGCGCGCCGGCGACGAGCACGCCCGCGGCGGCGGCGCGGCGGGCGTAGGACGGCCGCGACGCGACGTCGACGCCCTCGTCCGGGGAGGCCGGGGCCCGCTGGTAGCCTCCTTCGACGGCCTCCATGCTATGGCTGCCCCGATTCGCACACCCCAAAATGTGCAAGTGGGAGATACAGCAGCTCGTGTTGCCGCGGCACCTCCAAACCAGTCCTCGGTCCTCGTCAAGATTTCGTCGTCCTCGTCGGCACCGACGTGCTCGTCAAGAAGATGTTAGTCGCGTGACCTCCGCGCCGCCCAAAAACCGATGCTCCGCCACGCGCTGCTCCGGCGCCGCCCCCCCGGGGGCGCCCCGGGCGCGCGCCCCGTGTCCCAGCTCGTGCTGCTACGGCACGGCCAGAGCGAATGGAACGCGTCGAAGCGCTTCACGGGCTGGGTCGACGTCGATCTGAGCGAGCAGGGCCGGAGTGAGGCCATCCACGCGGGCATCATGCTCAAGCGCCACGGCTTCGAGTTCGACGAGGCGCACACGTCGCTGCTGAAGCGCGCGACGCGGACGCTCTGGTCCGTCATGCACTCGTGCGACCAGCACTGGATCGTCGTCAAGCGGAGCTGGCGCCTCAACGAGCGCCACTACGGCGCGTTGACGGGCATGTCGAAGGCGGAGGTCGAGGCCCAGATGGGCACGGAGCTGCTGCAGAAGTTCCGCCGAGGCTACGACAAGGTGCCCATCGAGATGCGTCCGGACCACCCGTTCTGGACGGGCCGCGACCGGCGCTACCACGACCTCGGCGACGTCCACCCGCGGGGCGAGTCGCTGCGCATGTGCCAGAGCCGGGTTTTGCCCTACTGGGTCGACCGCATCGCGCCGTCGATCCGCCGGGGGAAGCGCGTGCTCGTGTGCGCGCACAACAACGTGCTCCGGGTCCTCGTGCAGCACCTGGACTCCATCCCGCCGGACCAGATCCGCGAGATCGAGATCCCCACGGGGATCCCCCTCGTCTACCGCCTCGACGACGAGCTCCGGCCCGTGGGCCCGCGCGACGCGGTCGGCTTCCGCGGCAAGTTCCTCGTCGACTCGGAGCGGCGCGACGCCGAGTACCTCGCCAACGCGGAGACCATCAACCACTTCAAGGAGCGCTTCGACCGCGTCGTCCACCCCGTGGAGCAGATCACGCGCGAGGAGATCGACGTCGAGTGCCGCGCGCACCACATCAAGCTCCCGAGCGCGTGGGCGAACCTCGACGAGAAGCCGGGCAAGGTCAAGCGCCAGACCATCAAGATCGACGCCACGCCGCCGGCGAAGCGGCCCGTCGACGTCACGGACAGCCTCGGCCACTAGGGCCGCGGCGCCTCGTACGATAACCGCGCCGCGAGTCGACGTGTTGAGTGCGGGAGCTGAGGCACCATTGCACCGCGGCTGCAACATACGAGCTCGAGCTCCGGCGCTTCGCCAAGCTCAAGGCCGCCGACGCCGTCTCGACGCCTTGCGCCACCATGGCCGCGTTCGACGCCCTCGACGTCGAGACCAAGGTCCTCGCGGCCCTCGGGTCGTCGGCGACGCTCGACAGTTACGCCCTGAGCGCGACCCTGGGCGTCGACCACCAGGCCCTCCTCGGCGTCGTCAAGAGCCTCTGGGCCGACGGCTACGTGACCATGGACCAGGCGTCGACGTCCTGGCTCTGCGCGACGAACGAGGGCGCCGGCATCGCCAAGGACGGGTCGCCCGAGTACCGCGTCTACGCCGCGGTCGACGCCGCGGGCGGGTCGCTGCCGCTCTCGTCCTTGGAGGCCGCCGTCGGCAAGGACGCCGCGAAGATCGGCCTCGGCGCCGCGATGCGCGAGAAGTGGCTGAGCAAGGGCAAGGGCGCCGACGGCGCGCCCGTGCTCGCCGTCGCCAAGGCGGGGGTCGCGGACGCGACGCGCGCGGCGCTGGAGCCGTTCGTCGGCGCGGACTCGCCGGGCTCCGCGCCCGACAAGCTCGCCGACGCCAACGTCGAGAAGCAGCTCATGCGCCGCAAGCTCCTGGCCCGCCACACGATGAAGCACTTCGCCATCGCGAAGGGCGCGTCCTACGCGGCGACGCGGACGAAGAAGGAGGCGGATTTTACGGTGGACATGCTCCGCGACGGCTCGTGGAAAACGGCCTCCTTCAAGGACTACAATTACGCCGCCGTCGGCGCGCCCGTGGGCGGCGGCTACGTCCAGCCTCTATTGAAGGTGCGCGCCGAGTTCCGGAAGATCCTCATGGGCATGGGCTTCGAGGAGATGCCGACGGCCAAGTGGGTCGAGTCGTCGTTCTGGAACTTCGACGCGCTCTTCCAGCCCCAGAGCCACCCGGCGCGCGACGCCCACGACACCTTCTTCGTCAAGGAGCCCGCGGAGACGGTGAAGTGGCCGGCGGACTACTACGACCGCGTCAAGGAGATGCACGTCTCCGGCGGCGCCGGCTCCATCGGCCACAAGTGCGACTTCAAGGAGGGCGAGGCGCGCAAGAACCTCCTGCGGACCCACACGACGGCCGTGTCCGCGCGCATGCTCCACGCCCTGGCGAACCAGCCCGGCGGCTTCAAGCCCGCCAAGTACTTCTCCATCGACCGCGTCTTCCGCAACGAGACGATGGATTCGACGCACCTCTGCGAGTTCCACCAGGTCGAGGGCCTCATCGCCGACTACGACCTGTCCCTGGGCAACCTCAAGTGCGTCATCCGCACCTTCTTCGAGGCCATCGGCATCACGCAGCTCCGCTTCAAGCCCGCGTTCAACCCCTACACGGAGCCGTCCATGGAGGTCTTCGGCTACCACCCGGACCTCAAGAAGTGGACGGAGATCGGCAACAGCGGCATGTTCCGCCCGGAGATGCTCGCGCCCATGGGCTTCCCGCCCAACGCCCGCGTCATCGCCTGGGGCCTCTCCCTCGAGCGGCCGACGATGATCAAGTACCGCATCGCGAACATCCGCGACCTCTTCGGCCACAAGGCCGACCTCGGCCGCACGCAGGCCGCGCCCATCTGCATGTTCCCCTAGGCGCGCACTCGTAAGGCGGAGATATACGGCGGGACGTAGTTATACGCGAGGGCCCGCGTCGCGTTCGACACGCGGGAAGAGACCGCTCCCCCACAACGGGACGTGGCCGCGCCCGGCGGCCGCGGCGGGTCGCGCGCCACGCAGGCGCACGCGGTCTGGCCGCGGCCCGGCACGCGGCAGCAGCCGTGCGTGCGGTCGCGGCAGCAGGGCTTCGGCGCCGCGACGGCGCGCCAGTCGGCGTCCCCGCGCGCGCCCTGGTCGGCGTCGAGCGCCGCGATCCGCGCCTCGAGCGCCGCGTCTTTCGCGCGCGGCGCCTGCGCGTCCAGCAGGTCCCGCCAGAAGTCGCGGACGTGGGCGACGCGCAGGTCCAGCTTGTGGCCGCAGAGTCGACCGGCGACCAAGCTCGGGTCGCTCGCCCAGCTCTGGGAGCAGCCCCAGCAGTCCAGGAAATCCTCGCGAAGTTGGAACCGCGCGGCGACGGCCCGGAGCACCGTCGGCACAGCGACCTCGTGGGACACGGCGCGGAACGCGGCGCAGCCGGCGGCCGCGGCGGCGAAGGCGCGCCGGGGCACGTAGAAGAGGTCCGCGTGCGTCGCGCAGATCCGCGCGAAGGTCGGGAAGAGCGTCGCGTTCGCCGCCGCGAGCGCGCCGAGCGCGAGCTCCCGCACGCCGTGGCCCCAGGTCCAGTCGCGCTCGCGCTCCGCGTCGTGAGGGTCCAAACACCCCTTGCCGTAGACGCGCAGGTGCTGCGGCGCCGGCGGCGGGCCGGCCGGCGGCGCGTTGAGCCCCGCGGCGAGCGTCCACGTCGCCTCCAAGGACAGCGCGCCTCCGTCGATTCGCCGCGCGAGCGGCCGCGGCTGGAGCCAGAAGTCGAGGTGCGCGACGAGGACGCCGGCCGGCGGCGCGGCGCGGGGCCACGCGGCCGCGAGCCAGGGCGGCCGCGCGTCCGCCGCGAGGTCCGCGAGGAGCGCCGCGTAGGCGCCGGTCCGCGCGCCGGTCGGGTCGTCGGCCGCGAGGCACGCGACGCCGCGCGACGCGCAGGCCGCGAGCTGCAGGTCGCTCCGCGGCCAGACGACGTAGGCGACGCCGCCGAAGAAGCGCTCGTAGCGCGCCGTCAGGTAGAGCCGGTCCTCGCGCGCGACCGTGAGCACGAGCAGCAGCTCCTCGAGCGGGCGCCGCGGCTTCGCGCCGCGCGCCGCCGACGCGCCGCGCTCCTTGCGCTGCGCCGCGCCGCGCTCCTTCGCGCGCGCGCGGACGGCGCGCTCCGCCGCGCGCGGGCCGCCATGCGCCGTCGTGCCGCCGGCGGGCCCGCCATCGATCTCGCGCGCGACCGCGAGGACGAGCGGCAGCCGCTCGAGCGGCGTCATGCTGCACGCTGCACGCGCGACGACGACGGCGAGCAGTCTGAGCAGCACCATGACCCTCACGCGAGCGGAGTCATGCCGCTGGTCATGCTGCTAGTGGAGTCATGCTCCGCCATGCTCCGACGCTCATCGAGGCTGCCCCGGCTGCCCCGATTCAGATCCCGGCGAAATCCATGTATCCACAACTCGAGAAAAGTGTCGGTTCTTGACCCCGAATCAGCGATCTCGGTCGCTTGGTTCGAGGTTCGAAGCCGGTTCTTCCTCTTGCCGCGCTGAATGATACGATATCCTTCGAGCTCGGCAGGGGGTGCGATTGCGGTCGTCGCGGTCTGGCCACCAGCCGCGCCGGGCCTCGGTTGCACGCCTCGGCGAGTGATGTAGTGGTAACATTAGTCGTTGCCATCGACTATCCCCGGGTTCGATTCCCGGCTCGCCGATCTCATCTCATCAGACCCTCCTCCTTTTTTCTCTTGCTCAGTTCGTCTAGTGGTTAGGACGTGCGCTTGACACGCGCGAGATCACGCGTTCGATTCGCGTACCGAGTACTTTCTTTTTGCTTTTTTTTGGCCCACTCTTGCTTGTGCATAAGCTATGGCTTGTTGGTTTCTTACATGTGCGACGATGCGCGGTCTAGATGCGCGGACGATGCGCGCGCGGTCGCGCTCGACGCGCGCGGTGACGGCGACGGTCGCGGCTCGGAAGGCGCGCGAGAGGTCGGTCGAGCCTAACGCCGGTCGCGCTCAGCGAGCGTCGGGTCGCTCGGGCGTCGCGCCCGCCGCCGGCGCGCCGCCCGGCGCCGGCTCGAGCTCAAAGGCGTCGGCCTTAGACGCCTCGGACCGCGCGCCGACGGAAAACTCGAAGAGCAGGTAGCCCCCGAACAACCCGCCGACGAGCGCCCCCTTGCGGTCGTTCGTCGTCTTCGGGTTCTGGTCGCCGTCCGCGCGCAGGGCCGTGGACGTCGGCGCGCGGGCCGGCCGCGCCGGCGGCACGAGCGCGTCGGTCGACGCCGCGCAGAGCAGCAGCAGCGCTTTGCAGAGACGCATGGTTCCGACGATGTCGTGCACGCGCGGCAACACGCTGTTCCGACGAGCGCTCAAGCACGCTGTGTTCCGAGCGCACAAGCACGCTGTGTTCCGACGAGCGCAGCACGCAGAGCGTCGTGCTCGGAGCGGAGATGCAACATCTATGCAGCGAGTAGATACTGAAGCACGGGGGAGTTGCTATCCGATGGCCGCTTAGTTTGGGCAGCGCGCCCCCACTCGAGGAGCGCCGCGGGGCGGGCGGCGGCGCCGCGACCGCCCACGGGCCATCCCAACCGTAAAACCCGACCATGTTTTCGAAGCGCGCGTTCAACCAGCGGCGGAAGAAGGCCAAGGAGGCGGCGAAGCCCAAGGTGCGCAAGAAGAAGAACGTGCCGACGACGGAGATCTACGTGAACGGCGTCGTCATCACCTACAAGAAGAAGTGCGACTTCTGCGAGAAGAAGCGCGCCGTCTTCCACTGCCCGTCGTGCGACAACGACGGCGACGGCGACGGCGACTTCCTCTGCGACTCGTGCGACCTCGAGGTGCACCGCCACGTCAAGCGGCGGGGCCACATCCGGACGCAGCTGCCGGACGTGACGCCCAAGGAGGCGATCCACAAGATCCTGGGCTGCTTCCGCTACCTCAGCGCGCGGCGCGCGCTCATCGCGCGGTGCCGGGCCGAGTTCCAGCGGTACTACGACCCGCCGGCGAAGGCCTACTTCTACGCGCGGCCGCGCTTCGGGCTGACGACCTGGACGAAGCCCCTGTGCCTCAAGGACGCGGAGCTCTGCCCCTACCCGTCCTTCGACGACTACGTCTTCCGGATCCAGGGCGGCGCGCGCGCGAAGGCGGCGCGGAACGCGCTCGTGACGCGCATCACGGAGACCTACGAGAAGATCTTCTCGCGGGAGTACACGCGGTTTTATTATCATTTCAACGGCCGGTCGAAGCTCGTGCCGCGCGTGCGCTGGGAGAAGCCCCACTTCCTCTTCTGGCGGGACCTCAAGCCCTACAAGAACGACGACGTCGCCGCGCTCATGATCCAGTGCCAGTGGTTCGCCTGGAAGGCGCGGCGCTTCATCCAGGACGCCATCCGCAAGCAGTACGCCGCGAAGACGGACCCGCTCACGGGGCGCCTCATGTACACGAACTTGGCGAGCCACAAGCGCACGCTGAAGAAGCCGCCGCTGTTGGGCAAGGAGGAGTACGACCCCGACGACATGTCGCTCTGGGGCATCTACCGGCTGGGCGTCTGGTTCCGGCGGTTGGGGTACAAGTGGATCGTGCCCGAGCTCCGCAAGTTCGACGTCGACGGGAAGCTGCTGCTGGCCTTCGAGTGGCAGGATTATGTCGATTTGGGCTTCGGCATGGCGCACCAGATCAAGCGATTGTTGCTGGACATCGAGAAGCGGGCGTTTTTTCGGACGCACCGCGACCTGCCCGTGACGCTCGTGCGGCGGGACCGGCTCCGCTACCGGGCAGGACAAGAGTGATTCAACGTCGCTTCAACGTGAGTGTTCCGCGCGCGCGCGTTTCGGAAAAAGCATTCATGCTTCGAGAACGCTCCGAGAGATGATCGCTCGTCCAAAAATTAGCCGAAACGAGTGGAAAATGACCGAGATAGGAGCCTTTGAAGTTGGGAATTTCGCACCCTTGTCCTGCCAGGCTCCGCTACCACCACAAGATCGAGAAGGCGACGATCTTGATCCAGCGCGCCTACCGGCTGCGCTACGAGGCGCTCCAGCGCCGGCGCGAGGCCGAGCTCGCGCGCCTCGCGCGCGAGCGCGAGAAGGCGGAGCGGCTCCGCATCGAGGGCGGCATGTGGTGGTCGAAGAAGATCGCCGCGATCCCCGTGCCGGACCACGGCAAGCTCTACGGCAACGCGACCATCGACTCCGTCAAGGGCTGGGGGTCCTGGGTCGGCACGACCTGGGTCCCCGCGCCCGACGACACGCGGCCCGCGGAGCAGCGCTACGAGTTCCGCGACGCGACGCGCCACGTCCTCGCCGCGCGCGGCCTCCACTTCCGCAACGACGACATGGTCATGGCCCGCCGCGCCCAGCTCCTCAAGGACCTCCGCGACAACGGCATCGACGGCGCGGGGCCCAACAAGGACCCCGCGACGGGCTAATCACGGGGGGGCGCGGCGATTGGTCGGACGGGGGCACCGCGGGGCTGCCCAATGGCATGGACCACCATTGAGTAGCCTCCTCCGCGGCGGCCATGGCGTTCGCGCTGACGGTGTCCTACGACCGCCGCACCTTCCGCCTCGCGCTGAAGCGGCCCGTGGCCGTGGCCAAGGTCAAGAAGACCCTCGTCAAGGCCCATCTGCGCGACGTCGGCGCCGAGGACCTCGTGCTGCGCGGCGACGGCGGCGACGCCCTCGACGACGGCGCGCTGCTGTCCGCGGACGCGCACCTCGTCGCCTCCGTCGGCGGCCGCGCGCCGCCGAGCGCTGCGCCGCCGAGCGCTGCGCCGCCGCCGGCTCCGCGACCGGCACAAGCGCCGACCAAACGGCCGACGGCTGCGAAACCCGCGTCGAAGCACAACAGCTTCGCCGCATTCCGCGCGGCGCGCGAGTCCGCCGGCGACGGCCCCCGGCGCGCACCCG